AGATAAAAATGTATTATTGTATTTTGTATTATTATTTATATTATTATGTAAATATATTATTATGTACATGTATGTATATATAATAGGGAGAGATCAAAATATAATATGTACACGTATAAAAGTATCATAATGAAACTCATTACTATATATGATTACTATATGATAGCAACAATTAAAAAAGAGATTTTGTTCTCTTTTACAAATCTCTAACTCACAGAGATCCGCCTGCCTCTGCCTCCCGAGTGCTGGGATTAAAGGCGTGCGCCACCACCGCGGATCTCTGTGAGTTCGAGGCCAGCCTGGACTACCAAGTGAGTTCCAGGAAAGGCGCAAAGCTACACAGAGAAACCCTGTCTCAAAAAAAACAAAAACAAAAACAAAAACAAATCTCTAACGTTTAGAGATGAAAAGGCTTTAGGTGGCTGCAGCTCCCGACACTGCTCACTGGTGCAGAGTCTGCCAGCACGGGACCTCAACACCCCAGTCCTTCAGAGAGGGCACCTGCAAAAGCAGGAAATGCTGCAACTGTGTGAAACTGGCTGATAAAGTCAAGAAGAGGGTGACGCGCTTGCAAAGAAAGAGCCCCATAGGATGGCAAAACCGCCACAGAAGCCACATCCTCCGTGGAAGAAAACATACATCTGCGGAACGTGTTATTTGTTGTGGAAGGCGAACAGCAATCCTACATGCTGCTTTTGTTACTGATAGAAAAATATGAAGATAAAACATTAGGGAATTCAAACACTAGTTTTTAAAAACTACAAAGCGGGTGTGAACAGTTAAAAGATGAATGACGCCAGGCGGTGGTGTCACACGCCTTTCATCCCAGCACTCGGGAGGCAGAGCCAGGAGGATCTTTGTGAGTTCGAGGCCAGCCTGTTCTAAAGAGCGAGATCCAGGAAAGGCGCAAAGCTACCCAGAGAAACCCTGTCTTGAAAAACCAAAAAAAAAAAAAAAAGAAAAAAAGGATGACTGACTAGTCAAGGAGTGGGGGCTGGGCGGGGCTCAGCGGGTAGACTGTTTATCATGCACGCAGGGGGATCTGACCTTGAGAAGTTATACGGGCAGTTTTTATATTTTCCCCAAAGTTTTAAAGTTTCGCTTTTCACAACTTATTTTTTTAATCTATTTGTAACTAATTATGATTTAGGTATCTATTTATTTGAGTAAATAATTTTGCTACTTCTACGTACCGATATGCCTTGGGGTCTTCACTTGTGAAACCCCGAGTCCATGGGGCTGCCCAGAGGAGGCTTTGAAAAGGACTTACAGGATGGAGAACCAAGTGGTCACGGGAGAGTCATCATGGCAAACTGTGATACTCAGAGACTTCAGTCTATCCCCCGCCCCCAGCTCCTTTCCTGTCTACCTTATGTTTTCAGAAATTCCCATAAGGGGTTAGTGTCCGGTTACATTTTCGTAGGTTCACTGAAGTGCAACTTTTGAAGTAGAAAGAAGACAAAAACTCTTCCTAGCAACGCGCGAATGTAAACATTCAACCTCGAGACTAGAAGCGCTGCTTTCTCCCACTAGATGGCAGTGTTTCTCTGCAGACCAGACCGGCCGCCCAGGCTCCCTGACAAGGTGGTGGCCTCCTAGAAAGGACACCGGGCACCAGGCAGCTGCTTCCACTCAAGAAGCCAAACGAGAAACTGTGCGGCCTCTCTTTATCTAGAAGATGCCCCCCCCCCCCCAGCCTCGAGACTGACGTACAACTAGGGAAGCTGAGAGTTTGGTCCTTAGTGGAGGGAATGATTTTAAGCGGTGACCTCAGTGAATGGTCGTGGGAGCGGGCGCCCTTTGGAGGGAGTATCTAAACTCCTGATTGAGGTGGCATCTCTTTTCTTCTTTCTTCATGCATTTATCTTGAACAATCTGGATTGTGACGGATATGCATTGCTGCTTCAGGTGTGAGCGAGACTCAGGAGGAGGACCGTTCGCCTCACAGGAGGCTTACTACCATCTTACCTCTTCTTTAAACAAACAAACAAAAAAACGAAGAAAAAACGGATGCAAGGAAAAAGCGAACTTTGCAGAGCATCCTTTCATATGGCCACCTTCGTCTCTCGGTATCTATGGAGACAATGCTACTTTGAAACGTGTGTACACAGAGGTCCTTGGTGGGTTCTGAAGAAATGCTGTTCCATTGCTGTATAACACACACACACACACACACACACACACACACACACACACACACACACACACACACACATATACATACATACATACATACATACATACATACATACATACATACATATGTATGTGTCTCAGTCTGTAGCCCTGGCTGGCCGGGAACTCACCATGTAAACCAGGCTACTCTCGAACTCACAGAGATCTTCTTGCCTCTCCCAAGTGCTGGGACTAAAGGTGTGTTCCACCATGTCCTGCCAATGTATAATCATCATTAACACCACAAAATGGCACTGCCAGCCTGTGCAGGAAGGGCTGTATTGTTCAGCTCCCCCCTCCTCCTCTTTCTCCTGCCCTTTCCTGTGTGCTGCCAGACACTGAGCCCAGGGCCTCCCAAGTGCTCTACTACTGGGCTATCTCTAGCTCTCATTTTTTTAAAAACAAAAATGTTTTATGTGGTTGTTTTATGAATTAATCCATAACATCACTGCCTATTTTGCTATCATTCTAATAACTGGTGGTTATTAGAAAAAAAGGAAGAAAAAATATAATCTTCCCCAATTCCATTCCCATACACAACCTCCACACTAATTTTTTCCCCAGGATGAAGAAAATAGTCATTATTTTAATCATCAGGAACGTTTTCTCCTTTATCAATAAATGTCTTCAAATTGGTAAACTCTGGAGAGAGATTGCCTGACTTGATTTCTGTATCTAATATTGAATTTGGTTCATTTGTTTGTTTTATAAGACCAAATCTCCCTGTGTAGCCCAGGCTGGCTTCAAATTCCTGATCCTCCTGCCTCAGCTGCCCACGAGCTTGCTTCTTTTATCTGTACAGCAGAAGTAATAAGATAACAGTCCTTGCTCACAGCCTTGGTTGGGAGATAATGTCTGCTACAATACCAAGCACATAGGAAATACCTCAGGGGTGTGGCTCTGCGGTAAAACCCTGCTTAGCATTCACTAGAGCCCAGGTTCAATCCCCAACACCACAAAGACAAAAAAGCCCAGCAAAGACTAAGTCTTTATATCATCATCATTATCAACTAATTTTATATTGTCATCTTATCAATCAAACTTTTTTGGCTACGATGAAATTACTCATTGTTACACAATTTGGAAAATAGGAAGGAATATAAACTGAGAACACCGGAGCTGGAGAGATGGCTCTGTGGATAAAGTAATTATCGTGCAGGTATGAGGACTTGAATTCAGACTCCAGCACCCACAGAAAAGCTGGCCCAGCAGCCTGTGCCTGGAAACCCTGCCCTGAGGGCAGAGACAGGCTGCTCTATCCGGTAGTCAGTCTGGTCAACACGATGAGCTTTGGGTTCCGTGAGAAGCCTTGTCTCTAATGTGAAGAAGCAATTAGAGACATTCTGATCTCAACTTCTGACCAAAACAAGTGAACATGTTACATGATAATATGAAAGGTCAAGCTGGGAATAGTGGAGCATGCCTATAACTCCAGCCCTTGAGAGGCAGAGGCAGGGGGATCATGAGTGTGAGATCAGTCTGCACTATCTAGTGAGTCTTTATCTCAGGAAACGAAGTAACACCTGAAAATATTTGTGTATAATCTCACTACCAAAGATGATGTCACTACCCAGAAATGATCCAATTTTGGGGTAATGCTATTTAGAAATTAATCTATATGGGGTCATACTACACAGTTTACTTTGTTGTTGTTTGTGGTTTATCATTATATGTTAAAATATGATTTTTGTCAATAATCAATTGCATGAGTATTTTGTATTTTTTTTCTTACCAGATGTTTAACAGAAAATGACTTTTGGGGTGGTCAAGAGGGTCCCACACTGGTGCACATAAATAAGAGGACCTTGCAATTGGGAGGGATGGGTGTGGAAGGTGAAGTTAAGCATTAAGAAGTCAATAAGAAGTAAACAAGACAACTGGGCAGTGGTGGTGCATGCCCTTAATCCCAGCACTCGGGAGGCAGAGGCAGGCGGATCTCTGTGAGTTCAAGGCCAGCCTGGTTTACAGAGCGAGTTCCAGGACAGCCAGAGCTACACAGAGAAATCCTGTCCCGAAAAACCAAAACCAATAAATAAATGGATAGATAGACAGATAGATAGATAGATGATAGATAGATAGATAGATAGATAGATAGATAGATAGACAGATAGATGATAGATAAATGTAAACATAAAGAATGTGGAGGGGGGAAATGGCTGCATTCTGTGTGAGGAACTGTAACGAAGATGTTCCAGAAAACGTTCCTTTTTACCTGTTCTGTGAGAACTGCAGAACTCAAGAGAAAAGAGGAAGAAGAGGAAGAGGAGGAGGAGGAAGCAGCAGCGGCGGATGCATCTTGTGGTCACTTCCTATTTTTCCATTTCCTCTTTGTGCAGTAGCTATAACCATTACGAAATCCCAGAGAAGCAACTGATTTTAGCTCACTGCAAGGGGCGGGGGTGGGGGGAAGGAGGGAGTGGACAGACACTGGACCAAGAGATGGTTCTGGGGTCTGGTGCTACTGTCTACTAACCAGGCAAACATAAGCAGTTCTACTGAGCCCAAGCCCAAAGGACAAACACGGAAGGCCGGAGGCTGCCACACGAACTCCTGGAGAGCCATGACTCCTGGTTTGTCATTGGGGCATTAGGCTTGTCATGCAAAGGGGTACCTCCACTTTCCATCCCTGTCCCCGTGATTTTGTGGGTGGGCCGTAACTGCAGGCACCTAACACTGGTGTGAGAGAGGAGGCTTGAAACACTAACAGAAAGGCAGGTAGTTAACTTAAAATGACGGGAATGTACATAGGCCTGTGTATACCAAAAGATCTGTCAGGAGCAGGGGAGGTGCGTCTAAGACCCAGGCAAATTTTCCACCTCATTTACCTGTTGCCTATACTTCAGCACCATCACCGCTTTAGAGCTGCGCAGGAAAGCCAAGACCCCTCTTGGCAGATGGATGGAAAGGGCTCCATGCCAAATGATCCGGATGAACCTGCCAGAGCCTCGTGCTGGCAGGAGAGATTGCCCTCCAGGCTCTGATTTCTCCCCAGAGGGCTCTGGGACGCTCTTGTACTTGAGTTTCGATGCCAGTTTGGCGTTCTGCTTCAATGCCGTCAATATGGCTGCAATCATACGGAGTTACTTCCGCCTTTCCCCACGCAGCCTCAGTAATCAGCGCAGCATTCCCACCCTGCAAAGTTTAGAACGACCGGCCGTGCGCAGCCACGCTTCTTTGCGAAAGGCTGTTGCTATTTTCTATGTAATTCGGTGCTCGAAGTATGAGGAAAAATGTTAGAAATGCAAGCAATCAGTTGTTTCAAAGGCTCCACGTATTCCTGGGTTGCTCCCTGCTCTGGGTAGGCTGCTGAGCCAAACTCCCAGAAGGGATACTGCTCACAGCTCCAGGGGCTTTGGGGTGCTGCCTGGTGTCCCGACTCAGGCACCCTTTGCTGATGGTGGTTGGAAATGTAAGAAGGCTGCCTTATAGCTGTCTTTCCATCCTCATCCTGGTGCAAACTTGTATAATTGTTCTCTGCCCTGTTGACAGTTTACAGAAAGCTAATCATGCGCAGGTCCAGACTGATGATGAAACATGAAACATCTCCGTATATTTCAGAATCCGACTGAGCAACGAGAAGCCCCATCTGCTGTGGGGGATTGGAGAAATAATGGACAAGAGGAGAAGACAAAACTTTAAGAAAAAAGGAGGGGGGGGGGGTGAGGAGGAATAAGATAAAAACCGGCATTGTAAATATATTTCAAATTCATTTGCTGTAACTTTGGTTTCCTTTTTGTGAGTGAAAAATCACATCCTGAGAGAGTGTCTTCGTTGCATGGGGAATGAGTTACAGTTCAAGGGCATCTTTTGAAAGCATGTAACTTGGGGCTGGGGAGGTGGCCCAGGGGTTCAAAGCACTTGTTCTTGCAGAGGACCTGGGTTTGGTTCCCAGAATCCTCACATCAGCTCACAACGGCCCATAACTTTAGTTCCAGGGGATCTGACACTCTCTGTGGACTCTTCAGGAACTGCACTGCACATAATACACAGACATACATGTAGACAAACACTCACACATGCAAAACAGAACATAAAGTCACAAAAAACTTATGAAACTATTTTGAAAAAGGCCCCAAATTATGTAGCTATTAAATGCCCACATAGAATCATAGCTCAAATATGACCTTTTTTAACATTGTACTGAAATGAATGTATCAACAACAGAGCATGTTACGTTTAACTTGCAAGATTCGTGATCATAGGATATTGATGCGTATTTTGGGAAGAAGCACAAACTAATGATAAATTGTGTGAGGATATAAAACTCCTTTTAAACAAACCATACGTTTAAAAAATTCTCTGACAATTTCACCCACATACCATGAATTTTGACTTACACACACACACACACACACACACACACACACACACACACACACACACTCCTTACCCTCTTTCGTCCCATCTATTCTCCCTCTTCTTCCCGACAAGGTCCTTTCCTGTTTTCATGTGTTTTCTGCCTATTTGTTTGGCTTCTTTATTCTTTGGCGACCACAGAATTTAACTGGGGTTGCGTGCGTGGACACAGGTGAAAGCTATTTACTGGAGCGCTCACAGCAACTCCCCAGCCGTCACACCACCGAGGAAAGCTTCAACTGCCACTAGCACCTCAAGGATAGGTGGGCCCCCCTGAGCTCCTCCCCATCCGTGACGGGACGGCTGGCCCCATCTTGCACAACTCTTCCCCAGGTAATCGCAGCCATTGTGAGTTCACGAGGACAACAGTCACGCCACGTCTAGAAGATGGTATTTCACAACACTCCCTTCCATCCTCCAGCTCTCACATTTTTTCCCTGCTCTGTCTTCCAGGTTGTTCTCTGGGCCTTGTAGGGGGTGATAGAGCCATCTCATTTAGAACCGATACTCAACAGTCACTCACGCTCCACACCGTGGCTAGGTGTGTATCACTGTTCTACTCTCCACACAGTGGCCAGGCATGTGTATCAGTGTTCTACTCTCCACACAGTGGCCAGGTGTGTGTATTAGTGTCTTGGCTAGTTTTATTTCAACTTGACACAAGCCAGAGTCTCATCTGAAAGGAGGGGACCTCAATTAAGAAAATAGCTCCATAAGATCCAGATGTAGGGCTGGAGAGATGGCTCAGAGGTTAAGAGCACTGACTGCTCTTCCAGAGGTCCTGAGTTCAATTCCCAGCAACCACATGGTGGCTCACAACCACCTGTAGTGAGATCTGGTGCCCTCTTCTGGCCTGCAGTCACATATGCTGTATACATAGTAAATAAATAAATCTTTAAAAAAAAAAAAAAAAAAAAAAAAAAAAAAAAAAAAAAAAAAGATCCAGATGTAGGACATTTTCTTAATTAGGGATTGATGGGGGAGGGCCCCGCCCATTGTGGATGGTACCATCCTTAGGCTGGTGGTCATGGGTTCTATAAGAAAGCAGGCTAAAACTGAGCATAGTGGTACACACCTTTAGCCCCACCCAGCACTGGGGAAGCAGAGACAGGAGGATCTCTGTGAGTTCAAGGCCAGCCTGATCTACATAGTGAATTCCAGTACAGCTAGAGCTATATAGTGAGACCTTGTCTAAAAAAAAGAAAGAAAGAAAAAATATATAATCAGTCTGAGCAAGCCATGATGAACAAGCTAGTAAGCAGCTCCCCTCCATGGCCTCTGCATCAGCTCCTGCCTCCAGGTTCCTGCCCTTCTTGAGTTCCTGTCCTGGCTTCCTTCACTGATGGACTACAATGTGGAAGTGTAGCCAAATAAACCCTTTCCTCCCCAACTTGCCTTTTGGTCCTGGTGTTTTATCACAGCAATAGTAACCCTAAGACAATCAGCTTCAACTCTGACCCACTGCAAACAGCAGCTCCTCTGACCAAGGATTTATGTGTGCAAACCTAACCAGTTAGAAGACAGTTTGATACCGTGTCCATTTAGAACCCAGTGCTAGGTTTCCCTCTACGACTTCCAGCAGCTCTTGACCAGGCTTCTGACCCCAGACCTGAAATCTATCCTGGTGAGCCAGCCTCAAGTCCAATCAGGAAAAGGTACGGTTAGCCACTATTATTTACGACACTGTGTCACCGGTGGATTTGTCTCATCTGGGAGGTTGATGTTGTAGCTTGTGGGGTTCATAGCTGTGAAAGGCCACGGATGGCTTCCCTCATTCCCCAGCGGCCTGCACGAGAGCTAAACAGCAAGGAAAAGCTTCCGGTTGACCTCCTCCATGACTTCTCTAAGGTCTGTAACCAAAGCATGAGGTGTTTTGAGTAGATCTCGCCACATCCTTCTGGTGGGCAACCAAGAGAAATGACAGCTTTGATGGCTTCTGTCGCCTCCCTGACCAAAAAGCCATGGGAAGGCATGCAGGCCTGACATTTTTGTTTACTAATCTATATGAGCCGTGTGTTTTGAAAGAACAGAATATAAATCTAAAAGTGAAATTTCTGCACTTAAGTAGGAAAGAACAATTTCATTTTTACCTGAAAACTCCTTTCTTGGTTGCTACTTAGCTTTTTTCAGACTCTTATCAAGTGCACTACAGTAGAAGGCAAGAGATGAAGGGCTTAAAGCTGCGTTAAATTGTCGATGTGTTTGAACAAACACACTGTTGTTTAGCTCAAACAGCAAAACGTGTTTACATCTGTTTCTTCTTGCCTACCCAAGGGAAGCAGTAAGTAACGGAAGTTTAGCTTGTTCCCATTGGTGTGCAGTGTAGACGGGAACACACATTTCAAAACAAACTTCCTTGGATAGAACTTCAGCTCCATGACCAGGCCACTGGGCTCCTAGCACCCCACTCCCTTGTCTCTGGACCAGCAAGCTTGCTGGTCCTCGACAGCCTGCTCCCCCACCACTACCACAAGCGCTGTGGGCAGACTTCTGCCTTCCAAGACGCTCGTCCATCCAGGCGTGAATTACAGAATCCAGATTCTGCAATTGTAGAGTCTGGAAGGCTGAGGCTGGAGGGTTGCTGTGAACTCGAGGCCAGCCTGGGATGCAGAGTGACTCCCTATCTCAAAAACACTCAAACCCCAAACCAAGAACAAAAACAGGAAACAAAAATCAACGACACCACAACAAACAAACAAACAAAACAGCACCCAACCCAAATCGTCTACCTACCCTGTGTCTCCTGGGAAGGCAGGATATCCACTGAATGAGCTCAGGCTTGTGGTCAGACAGGCCTGAACTCCCACGGCACCTCAGTGTTTACATCTCCTTAAACTGTTGTTCCAAAAACGGGGGCCGAGTGAGTGGCTTGAACCTCACATACAGCCTAGAGGGTCCTGTGAGATGTAAGAAAAGAAACTGGCATAATGTTTAGCCATCCCCCCCCCCCCCCCCCCCCCGCCCCCCGTGTGGCCCTGGCTGTCCTGGAATTCACTCTGTAGCCCAGGCTGGCCTCAACCCTGAGATCTGCCCGCCTCTGCCTCCCGAGTGCTGGGGTTAAAGGTGTGCGCCATCACGTCCGGTTTATGTTTAGCCATCTTTGTACTTACAAGATAAGGTACTGTTTTTTGTAGATTTCTATGATCCCAGCAGGTCTGACACGGTTAGCACAAACTTGGTTGTCCAAGGTATAGGATTCCATTGAACTTCTGTATTGCTACATGCAAGACGACTCATTAAGGCGCCATCAAGAAAAGGGTGGTCAGTTAAGGGGAGGGGACAAATAATAACAAGGTATGATGACGTGTATGATATATGTATGAAAATGCCATAATGAAACCCGTTACCTTGTATGTTAAAATTTTAAAAATCATTTCAAGGGGGCCGGGAAGACGGCTCAGTGGCTAAAAGCACGTACTGTTGCAGAAGACCTAGGTTTGATTCTCAGCACCCATGTGGGGTGGCTCACAACCACCTGTAACTCCAGCTCTAGGGGGTCCAATGCCTCTGGCCTCTGTGAGCACTTGCACTCACATTCACATATCCACACACAGGCACATTCATACACATGGTTAAAAAGGAAATCTTAATATTCTAATTTTTAAAACGAACAAAATAGAATAAGATGAAGCAGGCAGTAGAAGTGCTTTGAGGCGATAAGTACAGTGTTAAGCATCTTTTTAAACATGTTTTCTTTCTCACATTAACCTGGTGAGGAAGACAATACTGCACTTCTACAAATGAAGCAACTGAGTGCCAGTAAGTTAAAGTGAGATCATACTGGTGGAATGTGAGCCGAGGACTGTCATTCTAATGCTATTTTTAAGTATATCTAAATGCTAACACTCCAATGTTACAATTTCAGTACTACACTCAAAAAATTGTACAAGGCTACTGGTCTTCACATATTATCCTCTCTCTCTCTCTCCCTCTCTCTCTCTCTCTCTCTCTCTCTCTCTCGTTCTCTCTCTTTCTCTCCTCTCTCTCTCTCTCTCTCTCTCTCTCTCTCTCTCTCTCTCTCTCTCTCTCTCCCTCGGTGCCGGGAATTAAACCCTGAGCCCTGCATTGGTAGGGAAGTGTTCTATCACCGAGCTGCGTTCCCAGCCTGGAAGCTGAAACATGGATGATTTATTTTTGAGAACTTATCAGATCTCGAGGCCTGTAAATGCTTTCATACTTAAGTGGCTCTTTTCTCTTCCTTGGGGAAGCTGCCCTCTTTTAAGAGTGACCTTGATGCTGTGTTTTTCATGAGGAAACACAGCATTCAAATTTCACCACTGATCAGACTGGGCAAGTGGCAGGAACTTACATAATTAGATGATATGTTTTACATCAAGATTCTGCTGGAGAGTGCATAGAAAGTCTTTGGCAAAAGGCTACATCCACATGAAGCCAGTGGTAATGTAAATCAGTTCAATCCATTTGAAAATTAGGAAGAAATTTGGATTTAAGAACCGTAAAAATGTTTGGTTTTTGATTCAGTAATTCTACTGGCATGTCTTCTGGGCCTTTGGCTAAGCTCAAGTGTAGTATCAGTGATTCCCTCTGGCCAGAATCCTTGGCAAAGAATCTGAAGACATTGAAAGCTATATATTTGAAAATATTCACTATAATCTTTATTTTTAGTCTCAAAAATTTGGAAATGGTCTTAATAATAAATACCACTTGTATGGTTTCAGCAATTCAGAAACAGTTGTCACAACAGTCTTTTTGATTTATGGTGGCCCTAGGAGCCTAGGAGGGGTTGTGGTCACCTTACTTTGTAGATGTAGAGACTCGTGCTCGGAGTAGTTAAGGGACAGAAACCACACTCTTGGAGAAAAGCAGGACAGAATTCAAGTTCTCGCATATCCAAGACTGTTCTCTCTCTCTCCCTTGTCTCTCCCTCCCTCCTTCCCTCTCTCTCTCTCTCTCTCTCTCTCTCTCTCTCTCTCTCTCTCCTCTCCTCTTTCTCCCTCTCTTTCTCTGTGATATGTCCTTTTCACCTTCACCAGCAGTAGGGCAAAGGTCAACTATATGAACTTGATGAAATGAAGATGTAGCCTTCAAAATAAGCATTACAAAAAGTAACTCCTCATCAAAGCCGGGGACAGACTTGGGGGCAGGGCTGGAGAGATGGATCAGCTGTCAAGAGCACTGGCTGCTCTTGCAGAGGACCTGGGTTCAATTCCCTGCACCCACATGGTGGTTCACAACCATCTCTAACTTCAGACCCAGGGGATCCAACACCTTCTTTTGGCCTCACCAAGCATGCACATGGCAAAACATACATGACAGGCAAAACACTAATACACATAACAATAATTAAATTATAATATTTAAAGATTTGATTGAAAATTCAAAGAACAAAACAAAATCTCACCTTTGCTGTAATTATTACAAAATATAAGGCAGTTCTAGTATTATGGAGTGGAAGGGGAAGCGGGGAATGAAGGCCACTGAGCAGTCCCCTTCAGTGTCAGAATGGTTTTTAATGTATGGTTTATAATTCCATACCACGGTGAGCTGGCTAACACCCTTGGGCTTTTAGATTTCGAGCTTTCATAGGGTAAAGTAGTTGTACTTGGGTCTACTCATTTTGAGACCACTAATAAGAAAGCTCCTAAACATGACAAGGGGTTTCCTCCTAGGGTTATGGCTCTGTAGACTAGCAAAGGCCCTGAAAGACGGGCACCAGAGATTAGAGGTTGGGCCCACCGGCTTAGCCCAAATTCTGGTTGTGCCATCTCAGTGATACTTGCGATGTCCACCTTGCGTGGAGCCTTGGGAGGTGGGCTTCCCCACAGGAATGCAAGGATGTTTAATATTATGAAACCTGTTACCATACTTTACCATCTTAAGAAAATTCCATTATTCTATATTTGGAAGCTCAAATAGCTAATTGTCAAAATCTGAAAGCCCTTTATTTTACCTTAAAAGTTTTAATTAGGAATAGACATATGTAAACACAGTGGTTAAAAATCTATTACAGTACTTCCTGTTGAAGTGCTAGGAGCACTTTCCTGTAGTCAAGATGTAACTGGCCACTGCGGAGACTACTGCTATTTGATATAGTTCTGTAAGTACTATCCATTGCAATTAGACAAGATAAAGCCACTACAGATATGGACAGATAATTATTTATAGATGACATCATTTTAAGCCTCTGACATCCATAAAAATGTGTTGAAAAACTGTTAGGAAGACTAAGGAACTTAAATAAAATGCCCGGTTACGAAGTTAGTCATACAAAAATCACTCTGCTTCCTGTCTATGAATACAATAAAGTTGACCATTTCTCAGCCTGATTAGCTAAATGACTCCTCCCACCCCCATTTTCTTTCTCTCTCTCTTTCCCCCCTCTCTATAGGCTAGACCTCCCCCTGCCTCTGAGCAGTGGGCTGTGACATGATGGATTCTGTTGGATCAACTGTGGAGAGGACTTGGAGCCAGGCAGCTCTCCTACACACACCTTTTTGTCGCTTCTGGTCACCTGCTGGCAGGAAGTAAGCGTGTGTCTGTTATGTAGGGCCATGGGTGTCAAATGAGAGTCTTTGAAGTCGTTCAAGTAAAGAGGATTAGCCATAGTTCTAGAGAGAGATAAAGACTAGCCCAAAGAGGCAGAGTTCATCTGGCTTCCTGCATCTGTTAACCTGGCTTAGACACGTTTCCTCATGGCTACTTGAGGCACTGTTTGCCTTGAAATTGGCACAGACTTCATCAGTTCTTCATGGTATTAGACCTCTTGAAACCATAAAAAGAAGACATTTGATCATTGTCTTAATAGCTCATCTAACGCAGAGGGCAGAGCCATCTGAGCAGAGTTACTTCCCGGATCATGAAGTTTATATGTAAATCCCATGGGTTAAGCTTCCTTTCTGATCCGATACCAAATCTGGCGCGTTGCTTTGTGGTCCGCTGTGTAGAGTGGTTCACCTTTTGTGTAAAATGTGTTGTAAGGCCTGGGGCTGCATTTGATAACATTTTAAAAGATAACGCTCACGGCGTAAGCTGACCAGAGATACATTTCTAGAAGCTGTTCATTTAACAAAACATTGATGAGTTTGAAGTGACCCTAAGATTTATTTTGAAAATCGGCATCAAGATTTTTGAGTGATTTGATATTGATTTCACAATAAGTATTTTGAAAAATTAGGAAACAAAAATAATTATTGATAAATTACTTTAAAAAATCATTTTGTGGGCTGGAGAGATGGCTCAGAGGTTAAGAGCACTGGCTGTTCTTCCTGAGGCCCTGAGTTCAATTCCCAGCAACCATGTGGTGGCTCACAACCATCAATAATGAGATCTGGTGCCCTCTTCTGGCCTGCAGGTGTACATGCAGGCAGAACCTTGTATACATAATAAAAAAAGAAAAAAAAAACATTTTGTTTTGAGCTTCCAACGTACATATCAGCCACATCCAAAAAGAGAGGGGAGAACTTGGATTTGACCATGAAATCATCTGCCTTCAAGCTTTTTTGAGAAATGATTTTGTGGTCACTATTACTTTTCTAAGAATTTTGTCACTGGAACCACAAAAGAATTCCTTTACATAACATGCCCCATTAGTATAACTAAGAACATTTGATTGCAAAAATTCAAAACCTATAGACTTGCTTAGGAGCTTGTGCAGTTATTTTCCTGGTTACAAGTTTTGTGGCAGGTACAACTTTATGCCCTCTTGGCTCCATCCTCCACAGTTGGATTTGGATTTTTTTTTTTAAAAGGCCACAAAGTAAAAATACATAAATTACTTCACATTTCCATGTTGAGTTTTGAGCTCCTCCCGTCCCCCTCCTTTCCTTTCTTCCTTCCTTTCCTTCCATCTGACAAATAGATACGGAAAACCTTTGACAGGTTAGGCTCGTGTGTCCTGGGCTTAGAACACCGAACAGTAGTATTTCTGTCCCCATGAGTTTCTACTCTGATTCTGGTGGAAACAAGACAGAGGGAGCTTAGAAAAGAGAGCCCCTGCATGTCCCTAGTCTAACCCCTAGGTCGGCCGGGCACCGGTCCCTCAGCGGCAAAGGAGGGAAACTGTTCCGGCTGCTACTCTCACCGGTTGGGAGCAGCAGGCATTTGTGATTTTTCGACAGGGTTGTATCACTATAAAGGACTTTTAGGAAGAGGAAGCTCTCTTCAAGCCTCACTTCTTACTGTGTCATAGGCCACTTCCTTCGTCTCTGTGAGCGGGTTTTTCCCACCTATGAGATGGGCGTACTACTCCATGAAGTC